TTTCATGCGCCAATTTTGTGGATCAAACAAAGATCACCTAACGTAAATGCAGAAAACCTTACCTTTATCATTAGCATGGTCGGGTTGATGTTTGGTTATTGCCCTACATACTCACGTGACTAACAAGTCAGGAGCATACCAAGTGACTCACGACATCTTTTCTATGATCGCAATACATTCAGCATTACTGGGGCCACAGGCGCCACAAACCAAGTTTGAATATGTGCGCGATTCTATACGAAGATACAACAAAGACTTGCACCGTGAAACACTTATACCAGGAATTTCTTTTCCGGCGCGTTACGCGTCACGCACTTCCGGAATGTCATCTTCCCTCGTGTTGACAGATTGAAAACATATACAAACTTAACTTCGATTCTGCCGTGATGCAGAATTTAGTTAGCGGTACTGTGACCCCGTCTAGCATTTAAATTCAGGTAAGTAAAAAACTTTTCTGATATTACAGTCAAACCAGGTCAAGCGTTCCCGTCGCTAACGAACTAATGAATTCATTCAGGGAAAAATGATTTCGTTTGTTGATTCAATAATCCATTCATAAAATGAATTATCCAATAGTCATACTTAGCCTCGATTCCATAATCGAATGTCGATTCGATTACTGTTTTTTGAAAAATTACACTCTCCACAAGTTAACCTCAGAATTTTGTTTTTCCTTTTTTTTTCTGAGAGTCGAGTGCTGGCGAGTTCTGAAGTTCAAACCCAAACAAACTGTTACATGTACGCCAGTTTGCTGCCAATAATCACTGCAACAGACCTAGGCCTGACCTCTTAGAAAACACGACGGTCAAACTGAGGTCAGTGTATGTGCGGTGATTGGTGGATTTCGATCCTCGGCCTTTGTCAGTTTCTTTGCGTTTGCGGTCTGTCTATTCTAGCTGTTATTTTGATTAAAGGCAATGAAAAACGCAATCGTAAACGGCAGGAAAAGGGAAGCAAATACGATTGAACACAACAGACAAGAATAAAGAACAGGTAGATTTTGTTCATAAACCAAATCAACATTAGATTATTGAATCGAGGCACAATTTGACCTTTGGATTATTCATTTTATGAATGGATTATTGAATCAACAAACGAAATCATTTTTCCATTAATGAATTCATTAGTTTGTTAGCGACGGGAACGCTTGACCTGGTTTGACCGTAAGGTTTCAATACGATTAAAACTATAGCAAGCGAGTATTTCGACTATATTCCCCTCTACTAACTGTGATTTGAACTGCGTATTCGTCTCTTCATTATGGTTTATCGCAAAAATCAGTTGAAAGGAATCATGTTAAACCGAACAGAAACGCCGAAATATAATCTCAAACCGTTACAACTCTGACTAGGATTTAAATGTCGAAGTAACTTAGGTTTGCGAAGGATTAATATTCCAAGCGTTGAAACTTGCTTGTTGCACGCGCTTTCCTGGTGTCAAAATACCCTTCAGGTTTTGGTCTCTCGACGGTGCGCATTTGGAATGCCGCCAGAAACATTTTAACACAAACAACAGCAAAGGATATGCTTGAATACAGTTCTTGTTTCATATTGAAATTCCGTGTACCAACTGGGTTTTTACGATGGTGAAGTTAGGTCAAATTTGCCATTTTTGAAAAGTGCTGAAACCGTGTTTCTTCTTGGGGCCGGTACAGTCACATTTAAATCGTTTATTTAAAGTTAACTGCTGAATTATAAAGTAAAAATATGTGTCTGTTTTGTGACTGGATTTCATCTAGAGATATTATCCTGTTTTTATGTACGAGCGCGAAGAAAATGCTCCATTTTCGCTAATCTCATACTCGAAAGAGCGCCGATTTAGAGTTTTTCAAACTTTGCCTGATTCCTGAAAAAATAAAAAGCTGATACAAGTTTTAACGTGATTTTTGAAATAAGTGTACTATAGAGATTATTTGTGCAAAATATGAAGAAATTCAAAAATTCACGACTGTCAACCGATTCTCGAAAATTACAGACATTGGCTCTTAAAACCAGTTACTACCACCCTAGCCCTTCCCCCCGCTTTAGTCATTGCACTTGATAGACCATTTTTCGATATATTAAAATTCATACTTGTTTCCGAGGTTTGGGGGAATAAAACAAAAGAAATGTCTTATTCATTACTGAGCCTCAAGATGATTTCTTTTGTTTTATTCCCCCAAGCCTCGCAGCCAAGGATGAATTTTAATATATCGGAAATGGTCTATTGTGTCCATACTACAAATAGCGTGACTGTCTAAATAGCGTGATTGTGCAAATAGGGTGCGTCAGTTATGTGTATCATATCTCACTTTCACTTTCCATCAACCTCAAGCAGTTTACCTCATGATATATTGAATCGAATTTCTTTGGATTCTGTTGAGCAAGGTGGGTAATTTTTTCGCTGGTTATTATGCTCACACATTTAATAAGTCGTTGTAGACTTCGCCATGCATGTGCTGATGAAATTCAGTTGTTCTCAATACGAAGCGTTTTAATAGCGTCCTGTTTTTACGACGTTTGAAAGCCTTACACAGCATTCATCTTTATCAACACCTTTCTTGGTTTCTGTTTTGTGCAGGGAATAGAATTTGAAGAAAAAAGGTTATAATGTCGGTTGTAACTTTTTGGTTGTCGTGTTTCAAAATCATTTTAATTTTCGCGTGATTATTTGAAGCTGACAACATATGCGAGTACATACTTCCTTGTGCTTATGCGAGATCATTGAAGACTGGACTCCGTGTGGTTTATCACCATTGCTAACGGTCGCTTTTCGGTTAAACATACGTGTGAAAGTGACTTCTACCGTCCTAGAAAATATACGTCGATCGTCGTGAATCATTCATCGTGCGAGTTCAAAACGAACGATTATTGCATGCCTTTGCTGAACGGGAATCAGAGAAATGTTCATTTGTAGTTTGTGTTCATAGGTGCTTGACATTCAACATGATAGGAAGCTTAATTAAGGTGACTCCAACTTAAATATGAGCCAATTTTAGTATTTTTCTAACCTGCTCTCGTCGCGTCAGAAGTGGCTGGATAATTCTCGATTTTTGGATGTATGTATATTAAAGTTCAATCGTTCTCGCTTTCAACTAAGTGACTGAAATTTTTTTTGAAGCTTGGGTTTGGCAATATGAGCAAATTTTCTAACAATGGTATTTCTGCAAATTGTCTTTCTGTTCACACCAAAATCGAGCGTTTTCAACGAAACTTAAAGTTCTTGAGTTTGAGACTGACAGGAAGTTCCTGTCCATCGAAGGAAATAAGAGGTGTCTGCAGGCTAAAGCAAAAGCGTTTTTTAATTTGGAGCGATGCACGTCAACCGGAAGTAAGGCCTTTTCCCTTTAAATATGCCTTGACGCTACCAAATTGTATTGCTCGGTGTCTTTTAAGAATTAAAATTCTTGTAGAGACGTTTTGCCCAAACATTAAGGACATTTACTGCCCAAGAGTGCAAAAAACCATTTCCGGTTTACGTGCCTTGCTCAAAAACGTCTTTCCTTAAGCTCCCGTCCATTCACAGGTTTCGTTGCTTAGTGCTCAGTGAAATCTTCACGCACCTTTTTATGACTAAAAACTTACAGTCTCAGTGGCAAGCAAAATTTATGAACTTTTGACTAACCCACTTTCGTTCCCGTTTTGCTCTCTCTTCGTTATAATCCGTTATCTTTTTATGTCTATTATGTGTTATTGCACTCTGCTTGCCCACCCCCCCTCCCCCCCCCTTCCACCCCCAAATTTTGCATAGACTTTTGTTTTCAAATCCTCTTGGGAGGACTGTATATTCCCAAAAAGATATGAAAACAATACCTTATGCAACATTTTCGGGGTAAACAGAGTGCATTATGGGGGATTTGAAATTAGTCAGTGGGAAGGAGGTGCGTGCGCATCCGTCACACCTCTTCCTTATTATTCTCCTCTACGGAGCCATGCTGCCATGGGATTTTTTTTTGGCTGCCTACAGACGAGAGCTCTGGAGTCGAAAATACCTCCTACGTACATGCATCAGAAAGACCGCAATCTGAATAAAAGGGTGCATCTCCTTCGAGTCTTTTATCCTTCTCTTCAGCAAAATCTGCTTTCTCTATTTGACCGACAGTTACACCAAGCGCTAGTCAAAGCCTTTCAAAATGTAGACTACATGGTTTTAAAGTGGAAACATCGAATGGTGTTCATTACTTAACAAATCTTAGAAGCACGTTGCTGGTCACGAGCCGTATCTCTTGTTATGAAGTAGCCCGTGCCGGGCTCTCAGAACGTAGAGACACCGCGAAAATAGAACTCGCGCGATCTGGAGGGTGCTGTGTCCCCCGCGCGTATTTCGCATCACTTTTTACTGTACGACTGCACCACTATCTTGGAGCCCGGAACAGATTAGTAATGAAGTAACGTTTGAAGTAACGTTTGACGCCCACGTACAGTATGCCCAAGCGACTAGCGTAAATTAAAAAGCTTTATACCGAAACGGATGATAAAAAAATATTTGTTAATGATATATGAAATAAATCATACATGAACTGCGGAAATGAATTGAAAAAGAAATGATCGTCGCAGTGATCGCAATTTATGCAATTGCGTAAGAAGCCTGAAAAAAAAAAAAATTCAGGACTTCAACGGGGTTTGAACCCGTGTACTCGCGATACCGGTGCGATGCTCTACCAACTGAGCTATAAAGCCACTGACGTTGGGAGAAGGTCAATTGTGGGTTCATATGTTCCCGTGAAAGAAATGAGTGTTAATGATATATGGAATAAATCATATATGAACCCACAATTGACCTGCTCCCAACGTCAGTGGCTTCAAAGCTCAGTTGGTAGAGCATCGCACCGGTATCGCGAGGTCACGGTTTCAAACCCCGTTGAAGTCCTGAATTTTTTTCAGGCTTCTTTACGCAGTTGCATAAATTGCGTTCATTTCTTTTTCAAAAAAATATTTGTTCATACCTATCTAACGTCACTTATGAAAGGAATTCGTTAGTCTATTAAATGAGCGAATCGATTGCAGGATCAAGAGCTGGTGATGGAATACTCGCAGGAGCAACTGAACTTCTTCAGACTCTGTTGTGTAGTATTTGATTTGGTTCCAGAAGGACTGCGGCAAATTTTAAAAAACGAGTGGGACTTTCTTTACAAGACGACACTCGGAGAATGGAAAGACACGGCACAAAATGGTCTTGATTTCAAAAACAACGAATCGAAATCAAGTCACAGGAAAAATGGCCGACTGCTTTCGACAATACAGAATGGTAACACGGCCGAGTGGGACTGCACCTGTTTGTTTTTTGCCATCCTGTACTCAGACAGTATTGGTACCACCTTAAGTCCAGCTGTCCAGAAAGAGGTCGATGATATTCGTCAGGTGCGAAACGAGATCGCCCATATCACTGAGGGCAAACTGGCAGATGCCGATTTTCAAACTTCTGTAGATAGAGTGTTGAACGCTTTTACATCCCTTGGTCTTGCTATTACTGAAGTCCAAGAAATAAAGAACCAGACGAGCTTTCCAACGACGGAAGTAGAAAAAATTAAGAAGCAAGCCCTTGATCTCCAAGATGAGTTAAAACAGACGAAATGTGACTTGAAGGAAAAGGAAAGCAGACTTCAGCGTACAGAAGCTGATCTGGTTTCTACAAAAGAAGAGAACAGGGCTCTCACTCAGGAAATAAATGCGAAATTTCAGCCATTTTGCTTTCTCACATCGCGTCCCCCACATGATATCATCAAGCGTTCGCATGATATTGAAAGAATTACAAACAAAATGGCGGAGCTTTACAATGGTGCTAACGGAGCAGTTAGCACTGTGTATTTGTCAGGAAATCCAGGATGCGGTAAGAGTCAACTTGCTCGGGAAATCGGACAGCAGTTTTATTCTGAACGAAACGATGACGTTAAAGAATTGATCTTTGTTGCGACACTGAACACAGAAAGCATTGAAACAGTTGCTGACTCTTACCTTACCCTTGCCAAACACTTACAGATGACTGAATACGCCTTGAAAGAGTTAGAATCTTTAAAAAGTGAAAAGCCTCTTGAAGCAATTCAGCAGCTCCATCGGTTCATCATACCGAAAGCCAGCAAGTTTACCAAATGGCTTATTATTGCGGACAATGTAATTGACTTGCGTTTAGTCCGCGGCTTGCTGCCTCAAACAGGCAGCGTGGAATGGGGCCATGGTCAAGTGTTGATTACCACTCAAGATAGTGGAATAATTCCTCAAAACGCGCCTCATACGTATCATGAATCTTTAAGTAAAGGACTAAAGTTAGATGAGGCGGTAAAATTGCTGGAAACACTAACGCAAATTTCAAAGCGAGGACGAGAAGAAATTGTCGCAGAACTTCTCGATTTTCAGCCACTGGCCTTAGCTGCTGCTGCTTATTACGTGCAAACTGTTGTAAAAAGTGGGTCTTTAAATTATGATTGGAAAGCTTACCTCGACGACATATCAACATACGGCCAAAGAAATGAGATTGAAAGTGTCCTTGCGACTGAGAGTTCAGCATATTCTAAAACAACAATGGCCGCTGTAGAAATGGCCATCAAGAGAGCTGCTGACGTTGACGAGGTTCTTCGTCTGACATTTTCTTTTCTTTCTCTATGCGCTAAAGACGATCACCCCCTCGAAACTGTTTCAAAGTTCGTCAAAGCCCAAGTGAAAGACCCGCCAGGGGAGTTAATAAAGGCAAAGATTGCAAAGTCTTCTTTACTTCTTGTTTATTCCGAAGAAGGAAATAAACCATTAACTTATTTGCGCTTGCATAAAACTGCGTATGAAGCTTTGAAGCAAGCCAAAACGTTAAACCTAAAATCATGGGAGAGTGACAAGTATATGGCAGAAGCGGTAAAGATTTTCAAGTCTGAACTTGAAGCAAATGACGAAAATTATGCGTTTTGTAAAAAATTGAGGCCCCATTGTGAATCTTTACTTAATCACATGACGTCAGAGTTCAGTTTGGATCAATGCACTTTCAAAGAAAGGCTCACGCCCTTCGTAGATTTGGATATTGTTATCGATTGGCTGTCTACAATTGCCAGTGTCTGTCTTGACAATTCATATTTTTTCTTCGCGAAAAATGTGGTCAGTTTAGCATGCAACCTATTGGAGGGCATAGACGAAACTGATTCACGAGCATTAACTCGAAAAGCGAGAATTCTCAACATGAGTGGTTTAGTATACCTGAAACTGGGAAAACACAATCAAGCTAAAGAACTTCACGAAAGAGCACTTGTGACTCGCAAAAAGATTTTTGGTGAAGATCATGCCGATGTAGCAACAAGTTATAACAACTTGGCATCAGTGTACGACAGCCTAGGAGAATACAATGAAGCCAAAGAACTTCACGAAAGAGCACTTACGATTTGGAAAAAGATCTTTGGTGAAGATCATGCCTCGGTAGCAACAAGTTATAACAACTTGGCATTAGTGTACAACAGCCTGGGAGAATACAATCAAGCCAAAGAACTTCACGAAAGAGCACTTGTGATTGGCATAAAGATTTTTGGTGAAGATCATGCCTTGGTAGCAACAAGTTATAACAACTTGGCATCAGTGTACGACAGCCTAGGAGAATACAATCAAGCCAAAGAACTTCACGAAAGAGCACTTGTGATTCGCAAAAAGATTTTTGGTGAAGATCATGCCTATGTAGCAACAAGTTATAACAACTTGGCATTAGTGTACAACAGCCTGGGAGAATACAATCAAGCCAAAGAACTTCACGAAAAAGCACTTGTGATTTGGAAAAAAATTTTTGGTGAAGATCATGCCAATGTAGCAACAAGTTATAACAACTTGGCATTAGTGTACTACAGCCTGGGAGAATACAATCAAGCCAAAGAACTTCACGAAAAAGCACTTGTGATTTGGAAAAAGATTTTTGGTGAAGATCATGCCGATGTAGCAACAGGTTATAACAACTTGGCATCAGTGTACAAAACCCTGGGAGAATACAATCAAGCCAAAGAACTTCACGAAAAAGCACTTGTGATTGGCAAAAAGATTTTTGGTGAAGGTCATGCCGCGGTAGCAACAAGTTATAACAACTTGGCATCAGTGTACGACAGCCTAGGAGAATACAATCAAGCCAAAGAACTTCACGAAAAAGCACTTGTGATTGGCAAAAAGATTTTTGGTGAAGATCATGCCGATGTAGCAACAAGTTATAACAACTTGGCCTTAGTGTACAGAAGGCTGGGAGAATACAATCGAGCCAAAGAACTTCACGAAAAAGCACTTGTGATTCGCAAAAAGATTTTTGGTGAAGATCATGCCGATGTAGCAACAAGTTATAACAACTTGGCATCAGTGTACAACAGCCTGGGAGAATACAATCAAGCCAAAGAACTTCACGAAAAAGCACTTGTGATTCGCAAAAAGATTTTTGGTGAAGATCATGCCGATGTAGCAACAAGTTATAACAACTTGGCATCAGTGTACGACAGCCTCGGAGAATACAATCGAGCCAAAGAACTTCACGAAAAAGCACTTGTGATTCGCAAAAAGATTTTTGGTGAAGATCATGCCGATGTAGCAACAAGTTATAACAACTTGGCATCAGTGTACGACAGCCTAGGAGAATACAATCAAGCCAAAGAACTTCACGAAAAAGCACTTGTGATTCGCAAAAAGATTTTTGGTGAAGATCATGCCGATGTAGCAACAAGTTATAACAACTTGGCATCAGTGTACAACAGCCTGGGAGAATACAATCAAGCCAAAGAACTTCACGAAAAAGCACTTGTGATTTGGAAAAAGATTTTTGGTGAAGATCATGCCAATGTTGCAACAAGTTATAACAACTTGGCATTAGTTTACTACAGCCTGGGAGAATACAATCAAGCCAAAGAACTTCACGAAAAAGCACTTGTGATTTGGAAAAAGATTTTTGGTGAAGATCATGCCGATGTAGCAACAAGTTATAACAACTTGGCATCAGTGTACAACAGCCTGGGAGAATACAATCAAGCCAAAGAACTTCACGAAAAAGCACTTGTGATTAGCAAAAAGATTTTTGGTGAAGATCATGCCGATGTAGCAACAAGTTATAACAACTTGGCATTAGTGTACAGGAGCCTGGGAGAATACAATCAAGCCAAAGAACTTCACGAAAGAGCACTTGTGATTTGCAAAAAGATTTTTGGTGAAGATCATGCCTCGGTAGCAACAAGTTATAACAACTTGGCATCAGTGTACGACAGCCTAGGAGAATACAATCAAGCCAAAGAACTTCACGAAAAAGCACTTGTGATTCGCAAAAAGATTTTGGTGAAGATCATGCCTATGTACACTGATGCCAAGTTGTTATGACCTTTTGCCACAACAGCCTGGGAGAATACAATCAAGCCAAAGAACTTCACGAAAAAGCACTTGTGATTTGCAAAAAGATTTTTGGTGAAGATCATGCCAATGTAGCAACAAGTTATAACAACTTGGCATTAGTGTACTACAGCCTGGGAGAATACAATCAAGCCAAAGAACTTCACGAAAAAGCACTGATGATTCGCAAAACGATTTTTGGTGAAGATCATGCCGATGTAGCAACAAGTTATAACAACTTGGCATCAGTGTACAACAGCCTGGGAGAATATAATCAAGCCAAAGAACTTCACGAAAAAGCACTGGTGATTTGCAAAAAGATTTTTGGTGAAGATCATGCCAATGTAGCAACAAGTTATAACAACTTGGCATTAGTGTACTACAGCCTGGGAGAATACAATCAAGCCAAAGAACTTCACGAAAAAGCACTTGTGATTCTCAAAACGATTTTTGGTGAAGATCATGCCGATGTAGCAACAAGTTATAACAACTTGGCATCAGTGTATAACAGCCTGGGAGAATATAATCAAGCCAAAGAACTTCACGAAAAAGCACTTGTGATTCGCAAAAAGATTTTTGGTGAAGATCATGCCTTGGTAGCAACAAGTTATAACAACTTGGCATCAGTGTACGTTAGCCTTGGAGAATACAATCAAGCGAAAGAACTTCTCGAAAAAGCATTGAGGATTTACGAGAAGATTTTAGTTGAAAATGATTTGCACGTGGAAAAAATTCGTAACAACTTGGCTTTTTTGAACAACTACCGTATAGTCGGTCGGTGTAAAGATCGTCGCGAGAAAGCACGGTGTTTGGTCCTGTGAGTTGTCTTACATTTGACGACATTTTTCCCACTTTTGTCGGGTCGACAAGCCCAACCTCTTGAGGGACAGACATCTTCATGGGACGAGTAGGAAAGACCCTGGGAACGAGGTTATAACAAGCCTTGTAAATATAAGGAATAGCTTAACTATAAAAACCCTCGCCTCACTTCACGGAATGTAAATAAAATTGGATGTCACGTCAGAATTGATGGGATGAAATCAGTTAAATCAATGTTATGTGTCTTTTAGGGGACAAACAGCTGATAAAGACGGCCATCGTCAGCAGTCGGCGGGGTTTGTCGTTTGTCACAAAAGAGTTTAACGAAAAACTTCCATTCGGGTGTGAAAGGCAGCCAAGACCGTTGTCAGGACAAATATAATCAAATATGGGTCAAGCCGCCCGTTTTTTGTGTTGGATACAGTAATGACCGGAAACGAGAGTATGTATTTGCTATGTCAGTCCTAGCCGGGCGTGCAAAGATTGGACGTGTGGTAAGTCACCCACCCTGGGTGCCAGGACTTTTCTAGCGGGGTTTCCGGTTTCTGCTCCGCCGCTCGTGGCTTCGGCTGACGGCCAAAGATGTGTCTTTCGGCTAACACCGAAAATTCCCTCCGCACGCGAAAAAGACCTCTGGTACCCAGGATATTAATCACCATGATTCAGATTTTGTAATTTCATTTGGACTTCATCTTTGTTAAAGGAGGGGTTCCTCTTAGATTTTCATGTACTTTCATTACGTGATAGACAGCCCATAATTATGGTCTATTTTATTTAAAATTTGAAGGCATGCGTTCTCGAACTTAGCCTGCGTCGCAGACGCTCTAAACCTACAAAGGGTTTAGACGAGTGCGTGGGCCGGCTGCAACGCAGGCTATCTCGAACTTAGTTTCCGATTTGTTCATAGTTTGATTTCAAAGCAGTCGTTCTCAAGGAGCGAAGCGCGCCCGGCGAGTCTGACACGCTCGTAGTACGGTTTGGCAGTAGGCTCAGGAACCGTCTGGGCATAATTAAGGCGGAATTGAACTTGTCAACATTTTGTTTGTTTATGGGCGATGGAAATGTCCAATCTGTACCTTAAAATAAGGCTGATTTTTTTATTGTACTAATGTGGCAGCGGACTGTTGAGCACGATAAGAAGTAATTTTTTAATGATGTCCCCATTATATGAACTTTTCAGTACAATTGTAACTTAACCCTTTAAACCCTAAGATCAAAATTTGAATTCTCATTAGTTGCCCCTATTCATTTCCTACAGAAGTAGTGGGGAGAAGTTCATAAAATATCAAGCAAATTCATCTTGTGTGATCATGTCCGTAATTCTCATGATTGCTCTGTTTTACAAAGCCTGGATACTACAAGGAGAAATTTGATGCTGATCACTCTTAGGGCTTAAAGGGTTAGAAGTTTTCAAATTCGTTACATTGCGGGTCGTAAGTGAGACCGTGTTGGCTATGCCATGCTGATGAGTCCTAACAAGGACGAAACAGCTGTCCATTGCTGCCACTGCCGGGGTGATATGGTTGTGCGTTTGCGTAAGGTACTGGCCATACCGCGGAGTTGGTAGTGTGTGCTTCAGTTCATAATTGTGGTATTGATTTTAGCCATGTTGTCATTAGCCATGACTTGCATTAAACTGGGTGGTTCTTAAAATCCGTTGCTTTTGTTGCTTTGATGAGATCAGTGTGCAACATACATACATAGATAAATAAACTTTATTCAAGTGTCGAAAATTTCTATAGCATACCTAAAAATGCCCACTAATCGGGCACACTTTTATCTAAAAATACGTTTATGACAATTCAATATTTGGCGAGATTGATCACTGTAGGGACCTATAGGTCACTACAGCCTTGATTATTATTTAGAACAAGTCCGAGTACATGTGTGCAATGGAGTAACCTCGTTCTCAACAGTGAAGGGCAAAAGAACTCGGGAGACGTTGGAAAAATCCTCCCAAGTAATTGTTACATAGGACTCTGTTCCTACATGTAGTCACAATGTTTGGGTCTACTTTGGGTTCATCACACCCCTCCCCGCTAACTCCCCCGCCAATGTTGTAACCCCAAACGGAAACGGACTCATTTCCACCCATTTTGCTTACAATTCAACATTGTTTGCGGTGGGAGCGGGGAGGTCACTAGTCTAACTATTATCTTTGGGAGGGTCCCAACACTAGTTTAACCTCCATTGAAGGCTTGTTTCCATGGATGTTAACGTGGCTTCATTATTATTTTTAAAGGATAACTTCACGAGCAGAAGGTAGAACGGACAGTTAACTCAATGAAAATAGGTCTTTGAAGTGACTCAACTTTTATTACAAGGAGAGTATATTTTGAGATGCAGTGAAACGAAAAATGCTTTGAAGCGAATCATCTTCATGATCCACTGAAACCACCTGTTGCGAAACGACTTTGCCCGAATGATTTTTTCGGTGAGGTTAAGTGCCTAGGAGGTTCTACTGTTCTTCTTAAAAACTTTGTCTGCAATGTTATCGCTCTGGATGCTCCGTACCCATTAGCTGCCTCGGAGTCTCCGCGATCCGAGGATACGAGCCCAGCAATGCAAAAAATGCATCTTTCATGTGTTTTAATAGTTATAAGGCTTTGGTACAGGCTATTTATAGATGAATTTTTTCGGCCCAAAACACTCGTGGTCAATCTGAACAGTGTAGGATCTTCAGCGCTAGCAATGGAAGACAAGATCAGTTAAGGTGTAACCAACTGTGAAGCAAAGATAATTCAGAGTGGTAAGAGCATTCCAGGTGAGTATCATAACTGGCCTGTGTACCTGGCGCCCGGGGGAGAGGGGGGGGGGGACTCTGCATATAAAGGGGTGGGGATGCTCGTCGGAAATTTTGAATTAAACCCCTAAAGAAGACCGATCTGGGCGTGGCCCAAGCTTTTTTTGACCCCTAAAAGAGACTATGTTAAAACAGGAAAAATGAGAAAACTTGGATTATATGAATGGAGTAAATAGAACGAATTAAAAATACCGTAAAATTCCGAAAATAAGCCCCTCCATGTATAAGCCCCTCCAAATATAAGCCCCCCAAACCGGTAACGCAAAAAACCTCCCTTTAATCGCCCCTCCAAATATACGCCCCCCGGGGGCTTGTACTTGGAAAATTGCCCTCAAATACAAAGTAAAACGTTAACAAAGCAAAAACGGTAAATTTACTTCCAACTATAAGGCTAGTCCAATCGATTTTGAAACGCAAATTTCCCTCCGTAGATAAGCCCCTCCGAATATAAGCCCCTCCAAAAATAAGCCCCTCAAAAAGGGCCTTTGAAAAATATAAGCCCCGGAGCTTATTTTCGGAATTTTACGGTATACATATCAAATATATATTTTTATATTTTTTCGTGTGCAACCCTAAATGAGACCTTCACGGCTAAATATGATGGCGTTTTGCCCAGAACACCCTAAATGAGACCAAAATCCGAAATTTACACCCCTAAGAGAGACGACGAGCATCCCCACCTCTCTTTCACATGCGTAGTCCCCCCCCCGGGACCTTGCGGTTTGTCGAGTAGGAAAAGAAGCTACGAAGACTTATTCTCCTCTGATTCTCCTCTCATTTGCGCGCCCCCGGCTGTTTTGTTTTCATTGTTATTTTCGTAGAAAAAATTTGTGACTACTGCAATGCGACTGGCTATAAAGCGAGACACAAAGGTTGTCACGCACCGAAGCTTGAACACGTTAAAACACTGTTTAGTTAGACGTGGTTTAATAGATTAGTATTTTAGCTTTTTTTTCATACCTGGTTCAACTAAACGTTTATCGGCTCCTGGCATGAACGACTTGAACAGATTGACACCTAGGTCACGCACTGTATGAATGTCACGTAAGACATCATTGACGTGACTAGAGTTAATGCTGTCAGCGGTTGTTCACTTCGTAGCGGTAGGTACTTCATATATGATTATTATTATGTACCTAAACATAATTATTATATCTTACTATATATTATTATTATTACACTATAAACACCTATACCCCTATACAACACCATATACCCCTATATACCCCATACAACACCATATACCCCTATATACCCCATACAACACCATATACCCCTTTATATACCCTTTATTACACATTATATATACTTTTATACAACACTATATGTAACCTATATACCCTATACAACGCTATATACCCTTTATATACCCCTATACAACATTATATACCCCTTTATATACCCTATACAACATTATATACCCCTTTATATACCCTTTATACAACACCATGTAATTTTATATACCCCTTTATTACATAATTATATACCCTTTATACAACACTATATGCCCTTATATACCCCTATACAACGCCATATACCCTTTTATATATACCCTATACAACACCATATACCCCTATATACCCTTATACAACAATTATATAATTTTATATACCCTTTATTAAAACATTATATACCCTTTATACAACACTATATGCCCCTATATACCCCTTTTATACAACGCTATATACCCCTATATACCCTATACAACACCATATACCCCTTTATATACCCTATACAATACTATATATCCTTTATATATCCCTTTATACAACACCATATACCCTTTATATACCTATACAACATTATATAATTTTATATACCTTTATACAACACTATATACCCCTATATACCCTTTTTACATCGCTATACACCCCTTTACATCGCTATATATCCCTATACAACACCATATACCTATATACAACACTATATACCCCTTTATACAACATTATATATTTTATATACCCCTTTATTACATAATTATATACCCCTATACAACACCATATACCCATAAACAACACCATACACCCCCATACATCACCATACACCCCTTTACATCGCCATATACCCCTATACAACACCATATACCCATATAGAACACCATGCACCCCAATACATCACCATACACCCTTTACATCGCCATATATCCCTATACAACCATATATACCTATATACAACACCATATACCCCTATACAACACCATATACCCATATACAACACAATACACCCCTATACATTGCCATATACCCCTATACAACACCATATACCCATATACATCACCATACACCCCTTTACATCGCCATATACCCCTATACAACACCATATACCCATATAGAACACCATACACCCCAATACATCACCATACACCCCTTTACACCGCCATATATCCCTATACAACACCATATACCCCCATACATCACCATACACCCCTTTACATCGCCATATACCCATATACAACACCATATACCCATATACAACACCATATACCCTTATACAACACCATATACCCATATACAACACTATACACCCCTATACAACACCATATACCCCTATACAACACCATATACCCATATACAACACTATACACCCCTATACAACACCATATACCCCTATACAACACCATATACCCCTATACAACACCATATACCCATATACAACACCATATACCCCCATACATCACCATACACCCCTTTACATCGCCATATACCCATATACAACACCATATACCCATATACAACACCATATACCCATATACAACACCATATACCCATATACAACACCATATACCCCTATACAACACCATATACCCATATACAACACCATGTACTCCTATACATCACCATACACCCCAGCACATCACCATATACCCATATACAACACCATATACTCCTATACATCACCATACACCCCTATACATCACCATACACCCCTGTACATCGCCATATACCCCTATACAACACCATATACCCATATACAACACCATGTACTCCTATACATCACCATACACCCCAGCACATCCCCATATACCCATATACAACACCATACACCCCCATAAATCACCATACACCCCTTTACATCGCCATATACCCCTATACAACACTATATACTCATATACATCCCCATACACCCCTATACATCACCATACACCCCTGTACATCGCCATATACCCCTATACAACACCATATACCCATATACAACACCATGTACTCCTATACATCACCATACACCCCAGCACATCCCCATATACCCATATACAACACCATACACCCCCATAAATCACCATACACCCCTTTACATCGCCATATACCCCTATACAACACTATATACTCATATACATCACCATACACCCCTATACAACACCATACATCCCTATACATCCCCATACACCCAATAAATTCCCATACACCCCTATATATCACCATACACCCCTATACAACACCATACATCCCTATACATCCCTATACACCCCTCTACGTCCCCATACATCCCTATAAATTCCCATATGCATCTTTATACATCACCATACAACCCTATATAGTACTTTTATGTGTGTCATTGTCCCATTTTATTTCTAGATGCCTTACATTCAGCAAAGCATATATAGCATTAATTCTTGTCAAAGCTCGCCACTAGTGGTGTGCTGCATAGCATGGTTGCCCCCGTGGTGGTATAGCTGTCTGCAAAAAGTCCTTTAATTGCTTAAATTCCAAAAAGATGGTGGCTTAAAAAGCTCAATCTAACATCACGTCGCAGTCACGCAACGGCAAAGTAAAGTCGTAGTGTTTTGCTAATCCCAGCATATTCTTATTGTTTTGGGGGCGTTCTCGTTGGCTTCGTTTTCGTCGTTTCTTGGTTCGAAGAGTAAGCCGGCCGACTTGTGCCGTTATGGGACTGGGGGGTGGAGGGGGGGAGGGGGCGGTGAGATTAAACGTGGACTGAAGTGACTGCAAATGCGTCTGATTTCCGCAGTTCCTCCGCAATTCGGCTACTAGCTCCAAGGTCAGTAGAGAGAACATTATTTATTTAATTCATCTATTCATTTATTTTCATTATTGGTATACGACCTTCAAATTTCAAGTTCATCAATAAAAAACGATATTGAATTATTATATGTACTGGATGGAGATACCATACTCTGTTGAGCTTTTCACTGAAAATCTAATTCACAAACAGCAGATAGGTATATTTGCTAAATACATTGCAATTATTGTCGGTAACTAAAATTTATTTAGTATATATCCACTCAGGCTTGGTGTTTTTGGGCAGTCTGATTGGTTGATAGTTATCTCCTAGGCCAAGCTCTTTCACAGTGTATAATCAACAAAAGCATAAATAAACTTCAGACATTCATTAATAATTCATTAAAAACAAAACTAAACAAAGAAATTTTTGTTTGTAAAATGAGTGTCTTTATGTCTGATAAAAAAAAACGGCTAACCTTTACGTTCAATTGTTAGGCCATAATAACCACAAATCTAAATATATTTGTGCAAAAATGAGTTCATCTATAAAATTAGCGGAGAATTTGAAGCCATTCAAAACAACTCGCAACTCGCAATTGTGTATTACCAGGTGTAAGACCTCTCGGCTTCACAAATTTTTTAAACCTGATTATACACTCATGCACATTTTTTTAAACATGCAGTGCACCTTTCCCTCAATTCGCCTATGATCTCTGACCCGAGGTTAAATTTGTAACCCTGTTCGTACATTTGACGAACAGGACATCCACTCCCTGTATTCATCGAGATTTTCAGTGACTTCACGCACGAAAAGTAGTCTGAGGTTTTCCGTGTCACGTTCCTCGTTGATTCCAAGCCCCAGTGAGGAAATATGCTGTAGATTTTGCAAATCCGAACGTTGCAAGTGTTTTTGTAGCTGCCGGGCTGTTGCTCTGAAGAAGCAGTTTCCGTCTTTGTTAATTGGGTCCAACTGAAGATCAAATCCTGTGAGATTTCTTAACAGGTTATCTTTGTGCTGTGGGGTCAAATTTAATTCCATAACGTTTAACTTTGACTCCTGTTCATAAAGGTTAGCTGCCGGTAAGTTTATCTTCCAGAGAAGACCAATCAAATCTATTGTTTTGTTGTTACATTTTGTTGTCCAACTGGTGATAAATTCTTGTATGTGCAGCGCTCGTTCCAAAATGTAGTTCAAGACGGAATCGTTTTCCAGTTCTTCCACAGTCTTAACTGTGACGAAAACGGATGATGTCCGTGGCATTCTACTAGCCTTACTGCTATTTTCGGAGACAGTTCCAGATATTGAACCCGGTAATGACGTTGACGTAGAATCCACAGCCGTCATGTGAGACTGAAGATAAGGGGTCGCTTGGTTTAAAGACTCTAACGGCTCTAATTCAATTGGCGTGATCGGAATTGTTCTCTTATTGAGGGTTGTTTTTAATCTTCGTTTGCAATTCCATGCATACAAAGCACACGCCATTACCGCTACCGCCAACTCAGGTCCAATTTTGGATACTCCGCACAGTAATGATCGGTTAAGATGTCTGTGAAGTCGCTCATTTATTTCAGTCCCACATCCAACAGGTATTTCCGAGAGACATCCTTTTTTTATATGCTTGCGCAAATTTTCAATTTGAAGAAGGGTTTCCGTTTTCAGCTTTTCGCTCCAAACAAATAGAAGACGTTCAAGATTTGATTCTATTTCATCAGGACAAGGTGCGGCTCATTGTTCTCTCGTTACCAAGGTCTCCATTTTGACGGAAAATTAAAGAAAATTCATTAGCAAATTGTTTACTGTAATCTTCGCTTTTGCGTACCGTTTGTACAACTCTCATACACGCGTGAAATAAGTCTAGCCGAACCTTTATCCCCGGGAATATTTGTCCATATAGGTGCATCACGTGGCAACAGTCATCCACTATTATCATTTTTAAGTTAGTGCTTGCCTTATCAAGCCTCTCTTTCAGTTCTTTAAGTGAGTCGATAATTTCGGACGAAGGAGTCGTCTTCGTAAACTTCCATATCATAACTTCTCCGTTTTCGTTCACCCCCAAGAAGACGTTTTTAAACTGGCCTACAAACTTGCCGTCCTCGCGGGTTACCCCGATATGTTTACTCGTTCTAAAGGTGTGGTCACAGGACAGAATCTCCCCTGTGTGTTTCCGCATGTTATTCTCATAATGTTTTTTGTTCCGCTCAAACTGCATGAGAAACAAATCCATTAGTTTATCGTTGCTTGGATAGGCAATGAAAGGAATACTCTCAAACTCCTTTACAGATAACTCTTTGCTGTCCGGTTTATTACGCATGTACTGTCTGTAATTCATTGATGCAATGCCTTCAGATAATTCCATGAAGTTTTGTCCTTGATAAATACCAGTTATTAAATAATCATAAAGACGCAGCGTAAAACCGCTTCTCTGCTGCATTATAAGAGGAAATCCCTTAACAACACTTTCAGGGAGAGTGCCTAACACATCGTTTGATGCGGACAAATACCGATGTCCAATCATCACGTTTTCTGGCAAACTTTCACTGCATTCATAGAACGCCTGCACCAGAATAACATTTCCGTTCAAGTCGTACATCAATCTTGGGTTTCTTGGACTTGTGTTGGAGGAGTCAGGAAGATCGGTCCACTGTCCGACTTTCAGAGGACAGCCATGAATAGGACATAAAATAGTCAAACCGTGTAATGTCTTATTGGACACCAGATAAATAATTTTGGTATTAATTTTGACATAGCGTGTGGCCCTTCAACAATTTGATCAAACCTTCCATTTTGCGGTGTACACTCAAACTCTCTTAAGACATCCCGCAGATATTGTCCTTCTTCTTTTCCAAGAAGAACACAGATGATTGTTTTAAATCCCAAAACAAAGAATAAGCAAGAAACAATGATTAAATTTCTCATTATGTCCCCTTGATGTCGAACATCTAACTGTCGCTGGGTGGCATCGATCTTGGTAATATACGGCTCAGCCGGGATCAAAGTGCTACAAAGCTTGTGCAATTTATTTCGCAACGTTTTACTTAGTTATATTACTCCACGAGCCATAGTTCATGTGACCTACCAAATTAAGCCGTTTAATGCATGTCCATGAAAGTCAGGAAGTACATTCAATATACCTTAATAAAGTGTGAGCATTTTTTTTTGTTCATTTTTGTTTTTGTTTGGCATCGCGGGTCGGGTATTATCCAATAAAAAGCTAAGAAAACTGGTACCCTTTTTAAGGCCCAAAGCCGAAAAATGACACCCTATTCAAGGAAAAAACAAACATGTGGCTTGAATAGGCGTTACGTGTATTTACCCGCTTAACGTCTATTAAACCTCTGTTGCAAAATCAAAACCGTTCGTTTAGGCGCGCATTTTCCCACTCCAGTATTAGATAATGCAATTAACCTACCCTATCTAAGGACCACACCAGGGACACAGAAACAAAAGGGTCAAGAAAGATACCCTATTTAAGGACCGAGAACTTCAAAAACCATACTCTATTGCGCGGCACGTACCTATATAGCCCATGTATGGGAGTACCCCCGGGGAATAGATACTGTTATTCAAAACCCATACGTTAATCCTTCCAAGAACTTCGCGTACAGAGGTGTATGGTGATGTATAGGGGTGTATGGTTATGTATGGAGTGTATGATTATGTATAGGGGAGTATGGTGATGTATTGGGGTGTATGGTTATGTATAGGGGTGTATGGTGATGTATAGTGGTGTATAGCGATGTATAGGAGTGTATGGAAATGTGTAGGGGAGTATGGTGATTTATAGGGGTGTATGGGGATGTATAGGAATATATGGTGTTGTATAGGGGTGTATGGTTACGTATGGAGCTGTATGGTGATGTATAGGGGTGTATGGTTGTGTATGGAGGTGTATGGTGATTTATAGGGGTGTATGGTGATGTATAGGGATGTATGGTGATGTATAGAGGTGTATGGTGATGTATAGGGATGTATGGTGATGTATAAGGGTGTATGGTTATGTATGGAGGTATATGGAGATGTATAGGGGTGTATGGTGATGTATAGGGGTGTATGGTTATGTATGAGGGTGTATGGTGATGTATGGGATGTATGGTGATATATAGAGGTGTATGGTGATGTACAGGGGTGTATGGTGATGTATAGGGATGTATGGTGATGTGTCGGGGTGTATGATGATGTACAGTAGTGTATGGGAATGTATAGGGATGTATGGTGATGTATAAGGGTGTATGGTTATGTATGGAGGTGTATGGTGATGTATAGGGGTGTATGGAGATGTATAGGAATATATGGTGTTGTATGTGGGTGTATGGTGCTGTATAGGGGTGTATGGTTATGTATGGGGGTGTATGGTGATGTATAGCGGTGTTTGGGGGTGTACGGTGAGGTATATGGATGTATGGTGATGTATAGGAGAGTATGGTGATGTATGGGGGTGTATGGTGATATCTAGGGATGTTTGGTGATTTGTAGGGGTGTATGGTTATGTATGGGGATGTATGGTGATGTATAGGGGTGTATGGTGATGTATAGGAGTGTATGGTTATGTATGGGTGGTGTATGGTAATGTATAGGGATGTATGGTGATGTATAGGGGTGTATGGTGATGTATAGGGATGTATGGTGATGTGTAGGCGTGTATGGTGATGTATAGTAGTGTATGGTAATGTATAGGGATGTATGGTGATGAATAAGGGTGTATGGTTATGTATGGAGGTGTATGGTAATGTATAGGGATGTATGGTGATGTATACGGGTGTATGGTGATGTATAGTAGTGTATGGGAATGTATAGGGATGTATGGTGATGTATAAGGGTGTATGGTTATGTATGGAGGTATATGGAGATGTATAGGGGTGTATGGTGATGTATAGGGGTGTATGGTTATGTATGAGGGTGTATGGTGATGTATACGGATGTATGGTGATATATAGAGGTGTATGGTGATGTACAGGGGTGTATGGTAATGTATAGGGATGTATGGTGATGAATAAGGGTGTATGGTTATGTATGGAGGTGTATGGTAATGTATAGGGATGTATGGTGATGTATACGGGTGTATGGTGATGTATAGTAGTGTATGGGAATGTATAGGGATGTATGGTGATGTATAAGGGTGTATGGTTATGTATGGAGGTGTATGGAGATGTATAGGGGTCTATGGTGATGTATAGGGGTATATGGGGGTATATGGTGTTGTATAGGGGTATATAGGGGTATATGGTATTGTATAGGGGTATATAGGGGTATATGGTGTTGTATGGGGTATATGGGGGTATATGGTGATGTATAGGGGTATATGGGGGTATATGGTGTTGTATAGGGGTATATAGGGGCATATAGTGTTGTATAGGGGTATATGGTGTTGTATAGGGGTATATAGGGGTATATGGTGTTGTATGGGGTATATAGGGGTATATGGTGTTGTATAGGGGTATATAGGGGTATATGGTGTTGTATAGGGGTATATAGGGGTATATGGTGTTGTATAGGGGTATATAGGGGTATATGGTGATGTATAGGGGTATATAGGGACATATAGTGTTGTATAGGGGTATATGGTGTGTAATAGGGGTATATAGGGGTATATGGTGTTGTATAGGGGTATATTGTGTTGTATAGGGGTATATAGGGGTATATGGTGTTGTATGGGGTATATAGGGGTATATGGTGATGTATAGGGGTATATGGGGGTATATGGTGTTTTATAGGGGTATATAGGGGCATATAGTGTTCTATAGGGGTATATGGTGTTGTATAGGGGTATATGGTGTTGTATGGGGTATATAGGGGTATATTGTGTTGTATAGGGGTATATAGGGGTATATGGTGTTGTATGGGGTATATAGGGGTATATGGTGTTGTATAGGGGTATATAGGGGTATATGGTGTTGTATAGGGGTATATGGTGATGTATAGGGGTATATAGGGGCATATAGTGTTGTATAGGGGTATATAGGGATATATGGTATTGTATAGGGGTATATAGGGGCATATAGTGTTGTATAGGGGTATATGGTGTGTAATAGGGGTATATAGGGGTATATGGTGTTGTATAGGGGTATAGGTGTTTATAGCGTAATAATAATAATATATAGTAAGATATAATAACTATGTTTAGGTACATAATAATAATCATATATGAAGTACCTACCTTCGTAGCTGATGAAAATGTGGTGAAATCCGAAAGCTTGTTAACCCACGTGCAGAATCCAGAAACAGTTTTTACCTTTTTTACACAGTTTTACCCGATAGAACCTTCTTATTGGACTCACTCAAACTTAAGCAAAGTAAGGTACATAGTTTAATGTGAAAAGACAGAGATTTCATCGCAAAATGGCTGCAAACGAAGGCACAAATGGGCACACGGAAGTTCCTTCCGACCTTGAAAAGAAAATTATCAAACAAATCGAGGTAAGCTGTAGGTTATTTTTGTTTTTTATTAATTTGCTTTTCTGCCAAGAATCCCAGCGAATGGTTATTCACCTGAGAAGCATTTTAAGGCTAAAAGGAATTCTACCATAAGTGAAAAGGACGCTATTTTTGTACTCGTAAGCACAATTACCCATAAAATTTCCTTGCCAAGAGCGTTAGTTTCAGCTTTGAATGTCAGCATTTTGCCTTTATGTGTTAACCGCTTATGCAGAAAATAGAATAAACGTTAGAATGACTCTGTAGAGTTGCTACGTTCATGTATGTAGGCACGTTTTGACTACCGGTATTTGTGGAGCCTACTCTACGTGTACATGTATCACATATAAATGTTAAGAACTTTGTCAAAATTTTAAGAACTTTGTCAAAATCGACATCACATCAATGCTGACTTGGGGACAGTGTCTGAGTGGTTCTCTAGAAATCTCCTGACACTAAATATATCCAAATGTAATTTTGTTATCTTTGGAAGTCCTCAGAAACTGAATCGTATTCAAGGCATTTCGGTTAAAGTAGAGGGCACTAGCATTGAAAGAACACAATCATTCAAATACCTAGGCGTAACACTTCAACAGTCTATGTCCTGGGCAGATCATGTCGATGCTATCAGCATGAAGATTAATCAGAGAATAGGCCTAATTAGGAGAATCAGGAATCTATTGCCGCTACAAGCTAGAGTTGCCTTGTACAATGCCCTAATCCGCGCTCTTTTTGATTACGGAGACGTTATATTGGGGGGACAAGAACAATGACACCATCATGTCAGAATTACAGATTCTACAGAATAAAGCTGCTAAAGTTATGCTGGGGCACCCACCCCGAAGCTCGTCAACTGAAGCACTGAAAAGTCTAGATTTGAAGTCACTGTCCACAAGAAGGTTTTTTCATCGCTGCATTGCAACCCACAAATGTCTTATTGGAGAAACCGATTTCAACTTTAATTTTACTAAAAATCAAGCTGTTCATTCATGCAATACAAGATGTTCTAATGATATTCGTTTACCCCTACCCAGAACAAACTGGGGTAAACAAACTTTTATTTTTCACGCCGCGAAAGACTGGAACAGCCTTCTAACGGATTTGAAAGAGTGTAAATTTTTATTTATTTTTAAATCCAAGTAAAAAACGTTTTTAAAAGATCTCAGCTAATTTTAAACCTTGATGTTTTTTTGTATAATCGATTTTAAGATTTTAAATTTTTAAATTTGTTTTACTTGTAAGCATATTTTACTTTTTTCGTAATTATTAATTAATTAGTTAGATTAATGCATGAGGGCCCCACTGAAAACCGCCTTGGCGAGTTGGGCTCCCTCTATAAATATTATTATTATTATTATTATTATTAAGGAACTACAGTCACCCACGGTCAAACTGACTCATGACAGAATAGGACTCTTGTGCAAGTCTGCCTTACATCCATCTTAAATTGTAACAATCAGTGCAATGCAGCCAGTTAAAGGTTCCATTAATTAAGCAAGTTAGCTCATGATCATCAGTAAGAACTACAGTAGAACTCTTCAGTCCCCCCCTAGCTAGTTGATCAATAAATAGGATGTTTTCTTTGAACATTCTGCCATGTTGTTCACCACTGTCTGGTCATGGGTTGGGAGGTTCCATTTTTTATCTGCACCCCCCTAAATATGATGGGAATCTGAACCTGGGTTCTTTTTTTGTCGGCACCTTTGACAAATTTGTATGAGGGGTCAAAATTTTGTGGGCTTCTTGGAAGGAAAAATCCGAACCCCCCGTTCGGAAAAACCATCATCCTTAGGGGGATGCGGATAAAAAATGGAACGTCCCATTGAACCTTTGATTTAAAACTGTGCCCATTATTAATAGCCTGGGGAACTGAAAGCAGTTCACTGAAATTGTCTAAAATACCTAGCTGTATTTTAACAAATCTGAAGATACTTGAATAAACTTGAATCTTCAGCCCAGTGTAGAGCAAAGGCAAAGCTTCCTGCTACTGCTAGAACCCTGCATGATCACTATATAACCCTGACAACCATCTGAAAGTAATTCAAAACTATAGCTTTGGTTTGGAGTGTTGGACACCAGCCTAACATCTTATCAGACGATTTAATTTTCTCAAATAAGTGATAACTGGAAACCACCACCATCCCTGTTCAGGGTAGGGCTGTACCTGAAATCTTCATCTTTGCTCTATATTGGTTCAGAGACTTGAGCTTAATTTGTTCAAATTTATCACATCCTTGATAGATGAGTTTTCTATGTAATCTTGTGTTATCGTGCATGTCAAATTATTGTTGCAGTTTTATTTTGGTGATAAGAATCTACCCAGGGACAAATTTCTCCGACAGAAGGTTGATGAAGATGAAGGATGTATCCTTTCATGTACCCATGTCCTTAAAATCACTTTTCAACTAACAAGAGAATATACAGGTTTTAAGCTCTGCAGCACAACACTCACTCAACTGATAGACTTAATTAACATTCTACTTTCATTTTTCTCATGATTGCTTATGACACAAGGAGAATTTATCACTCAATGAACTGTCAGTTTTTCCATATGTCCTTTTTTATATCCCATCTCCTTTCACGCCGTTTTGCTTGTACAGGCAGTGTTCTCTTTATCAGGTGGTAACCGGTAAAATTTACCCCCTAAAGCAACACTTCTTACCGCCTGCAACTGCTTGAAGGTTTACTAAAATTATTGTGATCTGATCCTATTTTCACAAGGAAATGAGAGAATATATGGAAAAGTACCGAAGTATACACGGCTTTTGTTTTTATGGGCCACACATTTTGGAAAGAGAACATTGAAGACAGAGTAAAATTATTGGAATCAAAGGTTTTTAATTGTTGTCTAAAGATAACAATGGCTGGTTTGCGTGAAATAGGTGTTAAAATGAGGGAATGACATTTCAGAGAACTTAGCTCCTGAATTTCCAAGCGAGGGTGGGCCATGTCCCGCCTCCCCCCCAACCAGGAAAGTGCACCTTTGGTGTATATTTTTGCCTTACCGGCCATGAATGATCCCTTTCCTGCTGATCTAAACTTTAGGGAGAACACAGTCTATGCAGGTATCTTAGTGAGTTAGCAAAATAAAAAAGGGCATAAAATGTACTCACTCTCTCTCAAATATCTCAAGAGGATTAATATACAAAATAAAATTACAGTATTATTTATTCTCACTGTAATCTGCTGTTTTCTTGACAAGACTTGCTATAAATCACAGGGGTGACACTTGAGTGCCTAACAACTTTCAACAGACTTAAGGTAAGAGGCTCATATTTGCTTTATCTTGCCCCATTCTTTCTCTAACAAGAAAATACCAGAAGGCATTTACAGTGTATGCGGGAAATGTTGGTGTACGTAAGGGGTATTTTGACTGGAGTTAGACAGTTAAGTACATGGGTTGGTACTGACAATGGTGATAGGAGAGGAGTTCTTCAGAGTGAAAGCAGATATAAACAACTAGCCCACTTGTTAAAAAGGTGGATAAATCTCTTTAGTATATACTAAAACAGTGGAAAGTATTTTTTTGGCGCTCTGATTGGCTACTCAGTCAGTGAATATCCTGCACTATTCACTGATTCACCTCCAGTTCCTCCAAGCGAGCGACGCCAAACTCGCGTAGGTTGCGAGCAAAATGCTTTCCCGGTTTGCTGCCGTAACAAACTAAGAAATTTCACAACTAATCAAGCAAGCTATTTCCGAAATACATGAAGAAGGTGTCGAAGTTCGGTTTGGAAGTTTTAACAGGTAAGGCTTTGCCTTTTTGACTTGAATAGTTATCGATAAAACCGGTGAAAAAGTTTTTTGTTTACAAATGCAAATTAAGCTTAAGTCTTGCGTTTCTTTATTTAGTTGACTTGTTCATAAATAAGCTTAAAACTAAAGTTAATATTCTTTTTTACAGAATTGTTTTAAATACAAACAGAATGCAGAACTCCTTTTGAAGAAACTTCCCCGCAAGAGCTAAACAAACGCCTTTAAAAGTTTTATTTGTCACTAAGAAAAAGCGACGACCACGGCCGTTCGGTCATTGCGCACCAAAATTGTAATCGTTTGCAACAGTAAATGAGTTAAAAATCATCATTTTGTGCTCAATTATCTCACTGTTTTAGTATATACTAAAACAATTATTCACCTCGGTGTCAGTGGCTAGTAGTGGATATTTACCTCGCTGCTTCTCCGCCTCGGTAAGTATCCAATACTAGCCACCTCCACTTCGGTGAATAATTGCTATTTATTATATAAACACCAATGAAATACCAAGTGAGCTTTTGCACGAAAACTTGATATCTTCACATGTGAAAATAACATGTTATCTTCACATGTGAAAATATCACCGTTGCTATGGCTACATAATAAATAGCACCTTTCACACCAAAAAACTATTTAAGTAAAATGGTTTGGTATTTCATTGGTGTTTATATAATAAATAGAATATTACATGGTCGCTTGGAGATACGAAATTTCTCTTCCCGTGTTGAAAAAAATATTTCACTTGTTCGCTGCCCTCACTCGAGAAATATTTTTCAACACTCGAAGAGAAATTTCGTATCTTCGCACGGCCATGTAATATCCTCTATATCTAGTGGATGGCGCAATGGTTTTTCACTATCCAGCTTTTATGCTGGATAGCGATCAATCCAGTGGATGGTGCTTGCCCACGTTTGGCCCAGAGACTGACAGAACCATTATTTTTAGGCTCTATCAACAGATACAGATGCTATAGCCAAAGCTCTCAGAAAATCAGAAGGTGGCCTGCTTGAGGTACGTTACAAATGTATGTTTAAATACCGGTACATTGTTGCTCTTGAATTTAGTTTCAGTAAGATGTACCTGTATCAGTGTTATTTGTACATGTGAATTAAGGCTTGTTGTATATTTATAAAGGCTGTGTTTGCTTCCAGAAATATTAGATTGTAAGAAGCAAAAAATTTTTGAACCTAGAACACTTAGTACATAGTAATAATGTTAATCTCTGACCACCCCTGGTGTATGACAAAGTGGTTGCTTATGGGAGGTGGTTGTCCAAAGGAAAAATCAACAAAATGTACAGTTTTTTTTAAAGCTCAAACTAAAATGATATAAGATAGAGTTTTTGAGTGACAGTATTTAACTGAGAAAAAAAAAGCAGTTATTTACAACATGGTCGCTTATTGGAGTTGGTCACTTATGAGAAGTGGTTGCTGTGAGAGAGTTGAGGTCGAAGAAGTAGTTTTTTTCAAAAAGTAAGGTTTAGCAGAAGTATTAGCTGCGTAGAAATAAACTGACCAGGTACTACTAGACCTCAATTCTGTCAATTTATTAACAGTACAGAATGTAGCAGCACTGTAAAATGCTATTTTTGTTTTTTTAGGTCAGTGAAGATAATAAGAAAGTAAGAAGAGCTACAACAAAACCTCTTCCCGAGGAAACTGCAGAAGCAAGACATGATGCCAAAACCAAAACAGTTTACTGTGTAAGTTGTGTAAAGCATGCTGTTCAATTATACAGTGTAATTGGGGTAACATTAAAACCATAATAACAGCAAAATTGTTTCTCAGTTTCAAAACGCTAGCCAAATATGCCAAGGGGGGTGTTTTATCTTTTATTAGAAGATCATCTATGCACCCCTTCATATACTTCTATACAGCGGGCTCCACTGCTTCCTACATTTATATACAATGCAACACTAAAATTAATGTTGTCCCAATGATGGCTCTTGAACTGCATATATATTACACATATCAAAGAGTAGGGGTAATTTTCCCAATCCCTTCATTTTGGCATCTAGAGATCTAATTAATGTTGTCCCAATGATGGCTCTTGAACTGCATATATATTACACATATCAAAGAGTAGGGGTAATTTTCCCAATCCCTTCATGTTGGCATCTAGAGATCTAATTAATGTTGTCCCAATGATGGCTCTTGAACTGCATATATATTACACGTATCAAAGAGTAGGGGTAATTTTCCCAATCCCTTTATTTTGGCATCTAGAGAGGGTTGTCTAAATTTTAAATGCTGTACAAACCATCATCAATGCATAGTTTACACAACATGTACATGTAACCTTCGCTTAGCAGGATTTAAAGTAGTTAATGAATAGCCATTTGATTCTTCTTTAATCTTCATTGTTAGTTTGGTGTAATTTCCTTGCAGAAAGGTTTCCCTGCAGAAACAACTATTGATCAACTGGAAGAATTCTTTTCAGATAAAGGAAAGGTAAAGTACAACCCCCCCCCCCCATGTTTTATTCTTAAATAAGGGTTGATTTCAAGTGTCGCATTATGTTCGGAATTAAAATAGAGGCAATATATAAAAGGTCACTTGTAAGCGTAAAAGTTGAAACTCGCTCAACTTCTCTTTTAAGGTCAGCACTTTTTATCTTGCCTCTATTTTATTAACGTGATTAAAATTTACATTCGATAACTTGCAAAGCCAAAAACTCGCCAGTGGAAATCAACCTTTAGCCTGACTTGTCCTCCGTCAGTTTAGTCCTAGCGTCTATTTTGGTACATGAAATTTTACATTGTTGTTAGTATGCTTATAACCAGCCAGTGGATCCTATGTTGAAGCCCCTTAAACACTACGTTTTGCCATGATTTACCTGTGTTTCTTTTTTTTTTAACTGTTCAAAGGCCGTGCTGATCAAAATGAGGAGAGGCGAAAACCATTTATTTAAAGGATCTGTGTTTGTTGAATTCTCCACTGTCGATGAGGCAAAGGCATTTGTGGCAACAGAAGCTCTTAAATACAATGAACAGGAGCTCATTAAAATGATGAAGTAAGTATTCTTCATTAATCAGGAAGAGTTGTCCCTAAAATGGCTTCTCTCCCGACAGTACACTGTATGTTTGTGTAAAGTTTCAAGCGTTGGCAGATACTATTGATTGGGAGAGTGGGGTGTTTGAGGGCTGGGAAACCCCTATGCTATTAATACATGTAAATCCATCACACTGGAGTATTAACTGAAGTACACTTTACTTGACTTTGAAACTGACAAGAGAAAATACTACCTGAGAGTTGCCTTCAGTTTTCACCTTGCAGCTTAGTAACAAAACTTGCGATGGTTCCTCATTGCCTTTAACCTGCAAACAAGCTCTCTAATTTTGCGAGAGAATACACTTGCATCTCCTTTCGCATGTGGTTCTCACATGAATTCTCGCGACTCCCTAAATGGAGAGATTGCTTGCAAGCTGCATTGCCTTTCAACTGCGGTTCTTGTCGAAACTGATAGAACCTGGGGTTCATTCATTTTATCACACAACATAGAAAAGCTACAACTTTTTGAGTGTTTATCATGAAAACAAGGGTCTGTGTAAAAAAAAATACATGTAACGTTTGAAAACTTGTATGACTTTTGACAGTGTGCACAAGTTATCCTCCTGTAATACATGTAATAATGTCATTAACTGTCACAGCAGTCTGTTACTGCACAGGAGGTTCAAACCTCCTGCCTCTTGTGCCCTGCATTCCCTGCTTCCGTCTTTTTTTACTGGATTCCTCCATTGAGCTATCTTTCGATCGCAAAATATTAAGCATTATTGGGTAATTTCCTTTATTCATTTCCCGCCCTCTTAATAGAACTCCCACCTCTCACTCTTTCCTCTCCCACCCCCCTCCACCCCCCCATTATCCCGAGCTCCTATGCCCCTGTCTTCCCCACTGTTCAGTTACAAGGACGTTTTTGAGCGACGTACGTCAACCGGAAGTGGACTACTTGCATTCTGAGGCAATGCGTTTGCACTAATTTTCGGGCAAATCGTCTCTATAAGAGTAAATACACTTAGCAATACAATTCTGGTAGCATCAAGGCATATCAGAGACGTTTAGATTCTAAGACGAGTACTACTTTGAGTACGAGATTTTCTCAGTTCTAAGCAGCGTCATTTTGGCGGGAAAACGTGGTAGCCGTCGTCATTCTACTACGAGTTTTAGCGAGAATGTCGAGTGGGGAAAACAAGTTATCAAATGTTAGAAGTTTTATCATTTTGCGATCGGGAGAGGGTATAACCCCCTTCACTAAAGGTAACAGTGCTAACTTTTCTGGTGAAAAATGGTGAAATGAAGCTTTCCGGGAAGTCTATAATTTTGAGAATGCGCGAATCAACTTTAATTCAAATCTCGTGCTCGTAGTTGTCCTCGTCCTTGAGTCTAAAGGTCTCTATTAAAAGGGCCAACAGCTCACTTCCGTTTTAGGTGTGTGTAGCTCGAAAACGCTTTTGCCTCACCTTCCTACTGACAGAGCAAGGCCTTTGACAATTCTTTTGCATCGTACAATTTAAGTTCGCGTTTGAAAATGATTTCGATTATTGGTGAATTTTAAAGGCATTAATATGACCTTATCACAGGTCTGACTACTTTTAAAAGAAGGAGGAAGAATTCAAACTGAAAAAGGAGAAACAAAAGTAAGTCTTTTTTTAAAACAAAAATAAATTATATTATTGTATGTATTAACTCAAATACTCAAGTGATCCATATTCAAACTACTTTAACGCATAAAAATATTAGCCTGTGGTTCTTACTTTTGACTGAAACATCCCTACAATTCTGGACAGAAGGTCAGAGTTCCAGTCAAGGATTACATTGTATGTATACGTTTTGAGCTAGCGATTTCATCACCATCTCTATTCCATCCTTGACCTCGTTCGGTACAACTGAGAATTTTTGGTAAGTCAGATAAGCTAGCCTCCCCAAAGACGTCCTTTGGGGTTCGTTTGTCAGGCATTGCGTGACAAAGGAACCCCAAAGGACGTCTGCGGGGGGGCTACAGATAAGCATCTCTTGATTCCTCAATTTATTGTGATCCTTGCACTTTTACTACTGAGGGTGCCGTCGATTGACATTATTCTGGAAAACGAATACTTAAAAAAAAAAGAAAAGAAAAAAGTCTCTTCTATGTGATTTTAACGCGACATGCTTCTTAATATTTTTATTTCAAGTAGGTTTATAGATACTGCAGTGCAATGAGTGCCAAAAATTAAGTGATTCCAAGATTTTATCCCATTTATTTTTATACCGGAATGCAGTCAATCGAACGCGCCCTGAAAAGCTAAACCTGCAAATTTGTTTTCAACAGAGCTTTTTTCGGATCAATAGCCGTAACTGCTCACCATCTACAATCCCGGTCATGATATTTGAAACGCTTGCTGATGTTTGGCCTCCTTCCCTTTCAATGTTGATTTTCAGGAGGTACATTGGTATGGACCTGAGTGGTTACCCAAGCGACAGCAGTGGCCACCAGACCTTGAGACGAAGACCACCCCAGAGAGCCAAGAAGAAGCAAAAGTTATCCGGGAAGTCCTTGGAGTGGCCCAAGGTCAAACAGACATGCTTGACACCTTGCCAGCCAAGTCTACCCTCTGGCGAACACTCAGGGTTTTCGCTTGGATGGGACGGTTTATACACAATGCACGAAGTGCCAAGTCGGACAGAAACAAAGGCCTGCTTACCACAGAAGAAATTAACAGGCAGACTCCTTTGGCTAAAGAAGGTCCAGGAAAACTTCAAGGGAGACGAACGGTTCGAAGAACATCGGTTGCAGCTTAACCTTCAAGAAAACGAAAGTGGGTTGGAGTGTACAGGGAGGATTCAAGGTGTGTACCCCATTTACGTACCAGACTCGCACCAATTTGCGCTCAAGCTTGTTGAAGAAGAGCACAAAACCACATTGCATGGGGGAGTAGGCCTGACTATGGCGAAGATTCGTGAGCAGTATTGGATCCCAAGGCTGCGACGCCTTGCAAGAAAAGTGATCAAGTCCTGCAACGGTCGTAAGCGGTTTCATTTCACCGTATTTACCAGTCCAGCACCTGGACAGCTTCCAAGGGACCGTACAGAAGGCCAAAACGCATTCCAAGTGATAGAAGTAGATCAGTCGAGAAACAACTAGCGATTGGTACGCTACCACGAGAGGTTGTCCCCAGCGATCGGCCTTCGGGCCTCTTCTCTGGAACGTCTTTTAAAACGACCTACACCTCTCCACTGATGAAAATAGGTTATTCGTGTACGCGGATGACCACCAACTGTTTTCAGTGGCGAAGACAGCCAACGAGGCGGAAAACATTTTAACTGATGAAGGAAACAACGTCTCTGAGTGGTATAATAACAATCTTTTACAAGGAAATTTTTCTAAGTATTAAGTGATGCGTCTGGGCCCGAGGAATTGGCACAAGGATTTACACATCGTGATTAACGACACTGTAATTGATCAGAAACCAGAGATAACGTTCTTAGGGGTACCCTAGACGATCAACTATCATTTTCGAGTCATGTAAGCAATGTTTGTAGAAAAGCCTCCTCTCAAACTGGCGTTCTTTTAAGATTACGTAGCCTCATCCCTACATCTGCTAAATTGCATATTGTTAAATTCGCTGTGTTACCCCATCTTACGTACTGTCAGACTGTCTGGCATTTTTGTCGTTCTTCTGATGCCAGAAAACTAGAACTAATTCAAGAACGAGCACTACGGGCTGTGTACTGTGACAACAAATCGACGTACGAGGAACTCATGCATAGAGCGAATGCACCAACACTTCATACGCGGCGACTACAAGCCACTGACTTATTTGTCGTTACGAATTCTCAGTATCATCTTCGAAATCATAATTTTGTCATTCCTACATTTCGGACTGTTGCTTATGGTAAACACAGCCTGACCTACCTAGGCCCTGTCATTTGGTCCAAACTCGGTATATCTATTCGATCGTCTGAATCTTTGGACATTTTCAAAAAGCGTTTTAAACTGGTTAATTTCACAAGCCTGCTTGACAACGCTTGTAAAGACTGTTTTTTATGTAACAACTAATGACTGATTTTACGTGTGGATATACATTTCATATTTTGTTGATTATTATATTATTTTTATTGACAATCAGATAAGTAATTGTAGTTAGGTGTCCCCAATTAGTGTACTTTGACACTATAATAAAGTTCTTACTTTACTTTGCTGGTCCTATGAAGTATCGTAAGAAGAAAGGACAAGAAGGAATGACGTACCTGGTGCTATCCGCCTGCAGCCTGACAAGGGGGATTTACCTAGAGCTGCTGTCCAGCCTGGAAACGTCTGAATTTCTCTAAAGAAGCCTGAAGAGGTTTATTGCACGTGGAGGCAGGCCCGAGAAAATACATTCCGACAATGGCCGTACGTTCGTGGCAGCGGCAAAGTGACTTAAGACAGCAATGACTGATGGGAAACTGAACGACTACCTGTCGCACCAGGGAATCAAATGTCAGTTCAATCCCCGGGGGGGGGGTACTCCCATACATTACCTATACGGGTATGTGCCGCCCAACGGGGTCGTGATTTTGAAGCTCCTGATTTAGAACGGGGTATCCATTTCAGAGGCGTTTTCCAGAACGGGGTATAAAAAATTGTGGATCACGGCTTTATCTTCTGCTTAAAATTGTTGCTGATTATGAAGAAGCTTATGATTGATGTATAAGTCGAACAAATAAAGAAATATCTTTTTAAAAAAACAGGGCTATTTCAATTCACAAACTTTCTAGAACGGAATATAAAAAATTGTCCCATTTCTAGAACGGGGTTTCAGTTTTAGGGCGAATTCTAGAACGGGGCCGGTATAAATTGTTGGCCCATTTCTAGAACGGGGTATCAATTTTAGGGGAATTTTTTTAGAACGGGGTGACAATTTGGAGTCCCGGGCGGCACATACCCACCCAAACAATACCCAAGTGCCCCCCCCCCCGGGGTTCAATCTCAGTAGAGCACCCTTGTGGGGCGGACAATTTGAACGAATGGTGGGAATTGTTAAGGGAAGTCTATAAAAGACCATCGGAAACGGTTTCTTGACTTGGACTGAGCTAAAAGAGGTGGTTCTCGATGTGGAAGTTGCAGTGAACAACCGGCCCTTGGGTTACATTCAAGACGACGTGTAGTTGCCGGTCTTAACTCCAAACACGCTGTTATTTGGCCAACCTAATCTGTTACCTGAGCTTGAACCCCATCATGTTGAGGACAGAAGCTTACACAAGCGAGCTGGGTACCTTAAGCGATGCAAGGAGGCTGTTTGGAAACGTTGCACGGGGGACTACTAGCCTGCGTGGAAGGCGTTTGAAAGGGAAGGGAAAGGGAGTTTTTGGCGTGAGAGAAACGCGAGGACCGGGGCGCGCGAGGAGAGAGGGAAGGAAGGAAACGCCAGTTTTTCCTCCCCTCGCGCGCCCCTCGCGTTTCTCCGCGCCTAAAACCCCTTTCCTTCCCTTTCAAATGCCTACCACGCAGGCTAGGGGAGTACGTAAAATCACTCAGAGAGCGACACACACTAAAGCATTCAGAAGAACGCCATCCTAAAATTGGTGAGCTCTTGCTTATCAGGTCAGAAGACAAGAACCGTGGCAAGTGGAGGATTGGCGTTGTCACAGATCTTATCAAGGGACGGGATGGTGTCGTTCGAGCAGCGAAGTTACGTGTTGGAACTTCGTGCATAGAGCGGGCAGGACAGCGGTTATTGCCTCTGGAGCTCTGTTGTGACCGAGTAAGAGATGAAGCAGACAAACCAACTCCTTTGCGTGTAGAAGCACCCGTGTTCAGGCCGTCACGAGATACTCTCGTCGCAGCAAACCTGCGGATCAGAAATCTAGCAGAGGAGAACTGTGATCCTTAAGTTTAAGAGAACGCTGAGACTAAGAGAACAGTTTTTACCCGACTTAGAAGCGACATATAGCAGTTATTACATATCAGTTGTAGTAGTATAAGAACGAACTCTGAACTTTGCGAGTTTTTGTTTGTTTATGTTTATCTCCTTTGGAGCTAAACAGGTGGAGGGTGTTGAAAATTGTGCTGTTTGTTTCTATTATATAACTTGTGCGCGTGATTTCAAGCTGATTTCAATACTACATTCAATTATACTGTTGACATAAGAAAGGGATTATGACAATAGCTGTCAAACGTAGATAATTGTGCTCGTTACTTTGCAATAGAGATTTTCTACTGGGATCGCCAGTAGTGTGGTTGTGTAATACAACAGTGAGACTGAATTGTGAGGAATTTCGTTACAAGTGAGGCATATTAAACGGGATAAATCATATCGTAAACATTGTGAGTTATCTCATTTCCGAAACTTAAGAGCCAATGTCTGTAATTTTCGAGAATCGGTTGACAGTCATGAATTTTTGAATTTCTTCATATTTTGCCCCATAATCTCTATAGTACACTTATTTCAAAAATCACATTAAAACTTGTAACGGCTTTTTTTTTTTTCCTGAATCGGGCAAAGTTTGAAAACGCCAAATCGGCGCTCTTTCGAGTATGAAATTAGCGAAAATGGAGCATTTTCTTCGCGCTCGTACATAAAAACGGGATAATATCTCTAAATGAAATCAAGTCACGAGGAAAACACAGACTTGTACTTTATAATTCTGCAATTATCTTTAGACAAGCTGTTTGAAT